GCAGGTTTAAAACAAATAAAAGGAAGTTCTTCTTCACACAGCGCACAGTCAACTTGTGGAACTCCTTACCTGAGGAGGTTGTGAAGGCTAGGACCATAACAGCGTTTAAAAGAGAACTGGATAAATTCATGGTGGTTAAGTCCATTAATGACTATTAGCCAGGATGGGTAAGGAATGGTGTCCCTAGCCTGTCTGTCTGTCAGAGGATGGAGATGGATGGCAGGAGAGAGATCACTTGATTATTGCCTGTTAGGTTCACTCCCTCTGGGGCACCTGGCATTGGCCACTGTCGGTAGACAGGATACTGGGCTAGATGGACCTTTGGTCTGACCCGGTTCGGCCTTTCTTATGTTCTTATGATTTGTAAGGATACTCCGAGGATACAGGAGATGCACTCTATCACTGTGACAAAGAGGCGGCAGACATCCCAAGCAAAGAAGAGACTACATAATTTACCCACTGGTTAATCTGTACACGTTATCCGACAGAAATCACAGAGGATGTAGGTGGGATTTCTACAGCTAGCGACAGACAGACAGGACTTACTTTAATGAGAGGAGCAGACAAGCAGTTTGACAAAAGGTCTTGTGCACCCATACTTCGCTGGTTTCCAAGCATGGGACACTGACCATCCCTCCCCACCTCCTCTATGTAAGGAGATTCAAAAACCCCTTCCCTCCACAGTGCTGTTAAAAGCCCCTACTGCAAGTCCTATAATTTAACGTGTACTTCTATTCCTGGTTTAACATCTCTCCATTAATCTCTCATGAGAAGCACAGAGCACAACCCCCACTCCCTCTGCCGGTCAGGCATGTCTTGTATTAGCCTCTGAGGAAAATGAAAGTCAGCCCCTTAGGCTCACAGTCGTGGCATTAAGAGTCACAAACCCCTCATGCTGAACTCATCAGCAATGAACACTGGACACTCTGGATGTGCTGAGGGGCAGCGTTTCACATGGGACCAAAATACCAACTCCAAACAATGCCATAGAATGCTTCTCTGAGCCCCATTCCTCTCACTCTTCTCTCTCAACAACAGTCCTTTGGTCTGTGTGCTCCGCAGTCGCCTCACCTCCGGGTGGCAGGCCTCAGGTCACGCCACACGTCAGTGATTGCCAGTCTCAATTTGGCCACCCAGAATTTCATGGCTTTTACCCCTACACTTAGCTCACTAGCCAGCACTGGCTCCCTCAGCCCTGCAGCAGTGCAGGGCTGAGACACTGTTATGGTCTCAAGGCATTTTTTGGGGGTGGCGGGAAGGAAGAGCACTGAATTCAGCTTTGTGAAATCTGACTGCCCAACAGTAGCCTAACAGAGAGCCTTTCCTTCTTGCTTTAAGCCAATACTGTACTGGGAACAGAGACTCTAGGGCTCTCTACTGTCCTAATTCACCCTATTTTATAGAAGAAATGGAAGCAGAGGGGAACCCAGTCCCATGTCATCCTAGGACATAGTAGCTGGTTATTTCAGAGCAACCTGCCATTGTAGGGTAACAATCAACCCGATCCATCTTAGTACAACAGGGTTCTGAAGAGCGCAGGTAAACAAAGCCCTTTAGTTTGGGCTTCCCAAAGTTTTAAATTCAGATTCTTGAGCTAAATCTGCCCAGCCCCATCTTCTGAAATAGCAGGCACTAGCCACACACACATCAATTCCCCCTCCCAACTCTCATGTGTAGGTCTCGCTGCAGGGCCCTAGACATGTCTGGCCTGCAGATCTGGTTAGTAATTCAGTAAGATCAATGTGGTGATGGTTCCAGATTAGATGAAATTTGTTCTGCATGCCAATTTCTCAGCCAGCAAGCATGGATGACGTCTCACTGGGTGCGCAGGCACTGCATGCTGTTTTTTATTGGCAGTGAGTGGGTGTGGGCTAGGTTCAGGCACTCAGGAGATAACAGGACTCATGCCACGTACCTTGCTCAGCCAGGCCGGTAGCACTCATAGCGGCTGAAGCAGGGGCGGAGCTCTGCCTGCCAACTGATTGGTCAGAATCATTCAGTGGGAGGAGCCGTAATAAAGCAATAAAGGCCAATCAACAACAAGAGAGAGCAAGATGCAAGTAAATTAGTGTTAAAGAAAGGTGGGGAGAAAAGAATGTAAAGTTCTGAATTAAAATTTATTTATGTCCTTCAAACAAAGACAAAACCAAACTGGACTACAGAGACCAGTCTGGGGGGATTCCAAGGACCTGGGAATGACGTTTGGAAAGCCATGGATTTAGTCATAACAAAGTTTTGAGAACCAATTTTCAAGCTATGGATTTCAATGTCAGCGAAGCCAGAAGGAACAAACAGTGGGGTTCTGGTCTGATTTGTTTATTTTAAAGTCAATGGGCCTGTAGTGAAGTGTTTTGGGAGAGGCTTTGGAGAAGGCTGCAGACATCTAAATCTTGTCATGAAGTTATGTATTAACATACAACAAAACCCAACAGGAGTAAGAATAGATAAACATATCAAATAGAGGGAGAAAGGAACCTCTCAAGCTGGAGGGCATCCATGACAAATCTTTCTGTGGTAGAAGAACTAATTTCCACAAGAATAGCTAACACAACCAACCCTCTGGCAGCCTGGAATTCTCATCCCCAAATGTGTAGAGTTTGGGAATGAAAAGCTCTGGCCTCACCCAGAGTCAGGGGAGCTTAAAGGTGAAGTCAGACCCTTCAGACACAGCATATCCAGAGACAGATCCGGGACTGTAAAAGAAGGTGGTGGTGAAGATAGAGCTACACGCTGGTATTTAAACATGGCACCACAACTTGTCTAAATGAAGGAGCTTCAAAGATTTTTTTTCAATATAGAGATTGCCTCATATCTCAAATTGTGTATCACTTGGAGCTGGGACAAATTCCTCTGATGTCAAGGGACAGTGACAAAGGAAAGACAGGCTGGGAACAAATACACTTTCATGGAGGAGTGAGACATTTGTTTCCCTCCATCCTGCCACCAGGAATATTCAGAAATTTGTTCATAATCTCATAGGGAACAGGACCATCTCAAAGAGAGGAGACACAGTGAATGCTGGCTGTAGAAATACTTTTTTCACCTCTCAGTTTTAGCACTGATTTTCTAAAGGAGCCAGGAAGGAATCTTGGTAAGAAACTTCTAGACTCAGAAATTCTACAACAGGAAATCTCTTCTCTTTCAAAAACAAGATGTCAAATGGACAGTTAATTTAGCAGCTTTTTATAAATCAAAACCACCAAAACCCCCACAAAAACTCACCCAAAGACTGTCAGAGATGAAGCAATTCCAAATTTGACAGACTAGCACTAAAACAGGAACCAAAAGCACTATGGGGATTTGAGCACCTCTTTATCAATCCCTTCTGACCTTGCCTTGTAGTGCACTTCTGTAACACCACTGACTCCACTGCAAAGCTCCAAGAGGTTGTGCACCCTCAAGAATATTTATATACTAAGATCCATTTGTGATTGAGAAAACAATTGTCCTGGCTCATGCCTGGGGCTCCCTACATGCTTCCAAGAATACAAATAAATAATAATAATTTCTCCCTCTGGTGAACACTGGTATTTTTTCTTCCTGTATTTCAAACAGAGTAGAAGAGCTCTAGAAATTCTCTGGTTCAGTTCTTTATCTGTGTGCTAGGATCATCAATGTTAGCAGCTGCAGGGAACACAGATGTGGAAACCATATGTGTTAGTTAACTGCTGCTGCAACACTGACAGGGAGGAGACATCTGTTATTTGTCCATACTATAAAAGTTTGATTTTAAAATAAACTCCTTTGTGATGGAGTGGGGCAAAGAGGTCTTTAAAATAGAGATATTTAGAATCCAGAGGCCATTTCTAACTAGATCTTAATATACACAAATATCTGAGGCCTAAATTACTTGACAGCATCCTCCTTAAGAGGAAAATTAGTGAGGGAGAAGTGGTGGGGAGTGTTGTCTATTGTACACCTGTAACTCTTGAAGGAATAGGAGCCTCCGTGACTACAGCTGGTGGAATATGCATTTCAGGAAGTGTGATCACCTTCTGTGATCTCATAGGATGACAGCAACCTTCAAGAGATGCCCACTAACACCAATCTCACCTCAACTGGCAATGCTCAGCATAAACCAGGGGGTGTGCCACCCAAGTCTATCACAGGGCCTCTCAACACTGCTCCTGGATTCACAGGGAGAATATCCCTTCTGCCACTGGATCAGAAACCCAAGGCCTCCATGCGTCGGACACAGGAATACAAAGACTGGGGCATCCCATGACTGAACTGAAATAACCTGTGTAACCATCTGCCATGATGGCGACTGAGGCACAATTACTCTAGTAATTGCCATGTAAAGTTGCAGTTATTTCAAAGAATAAGTATTCTCCACTGCACTCTAATCATTCTATCTGAAAGTCTCTGACCTTTCCTCTGGAAACATCCACTGACTTGCTATTGAAACATGGCTCAGGAGTAACAGCTCCCAGCGATTTACATAAAATCATAGAATATCAGGGTTGGAAGGGACCTCAGGAGGTCATCTAGTCCAACCCCCTGCTCAAAGCAGGACCAATCCCCAGACAGATTTTTGCCCCAGATCCCTAAATGGCCCCCTCAAGGATTGAACTCACAACCCTGGGTTTAGCACGCCAATGCTCAAACCACTGAGTTATCCCTCCCTCCCTTAGCGTTTCATCTTCCTAAGGTACCAACAGGTCGCTGGATGGGGTGAGTTATCTGTGTGGGACTCTTCCCCCTTATGAAGAGGTATTTTCTAACTCCAGCCTTGCTGTAACAGTCACATATTCAGGCATTAGACCAGAACATCGGAGCGCTTAGGAAAGCGGCAAGCACATCAGGAAAAGTCAGCTAGACAGAAAGAACTGCACTCAACAACTCCCTCCTCCCCGTGAGGGCAGGGATGGAGGGGGGCATTTATTCCTCAGCACTACTACATTCATTCTGTAGAAGAAACTAATGAAGGCGAGAGAGAACATGAAAAGCAGCCAATCACTTCGAATGGACAGGATAAACAAGCAGAGGATCAGGGAGAGAAAAGGGGAGGGTGAAAAGGAGAAAAAGCTGCTTATAAAAAGGAGCAAACCTCTCTGTTAATATATAAGTTAACCCTTTTATTTGGATTTCTCCCCCACCTGCACAGGCTACTGCAGTTAGCAGGGGGAAAATGTGCACCTGCATTTTGCCCATATGCTTCATATCGTCAACTTTCCAAACAACTAGTCCCAGGCACGCACAGGTCTGCAATGCAATGTGATCAAATGGCACTTTCAGAGGAATTAATCTGCTTCAGCTCCACAGGAAAGTCTCATGGGCAGGATCTGAGACTGCCTTTCCATCTCCCAGATGTACCTTGCTTCTCCATACTTCGGGGCAAAGGAGGGGAGGCAGAATTCATTGAGGCTCAAGCTTCGAGTACTCAACCCAGGGGCATCCTCTTTAGCTTCTATCATCATCAACCAGGGAAAGTCTGGTTCTCTTTCGTGTGGCTGTTACTGGAGAAGGTGTATGGAGCAGATAGCCCTGTGGTTTTTCCATTAGCCTCTGCCGACCCCACACAGAATCAAACATCCTTAAGTCAGGTTAAGACAGGAAATCAGACATGGAAGACAAAAATTTAGTTTTTAAGGGCCAGGTTTGTAAAGGCATTTAGGTGCTGGTATGTTCAGTATTGCAGTGCCTACCTGATTTAGGAGTCTAAGTGCCATTTTCAAAAGCGAGCCAGGCACGTAGGAGCCTAAATTCCATTGACTAAGTGCCTAAATCCCCTCTGAAAATATTTGGGCTCCTAAATCAGTTAGGCATTGCAATGCTGAGCACAGCAACACCAAAACACCTTTAAAAATCTGGACCCAAGTCTGTTTCAGAAGATGTTTTCAAACATCTCACTACTGCTGCAGAAATCCACCTCCTAAAACACCTACCCCTGTGCATTTATGTGGCACGCAACATGAGAGTTAAGACTTATAAGGTTCAGATGGTCTGACTGCCCCTTGGGCTGGAGTTCTTGTCAGACGCATTGAGTGTTCCAGCATGTTCCTCATTCAGTAGATTGAGGATACTGCAAGAATACCCTTTTGTAGCATTTCAGCACTCCCCACTTCCTGCCGTAAGCAGGTTGGGAAGAGGCAGGAATGCAAAGATGCCAAACAAAAAAAGTGTTAACGGACTTTTTGTGAACCTCAGAGAAGTTTGGGGGTTGGTGTGACAGGAGGACAAAGGCCGGTGGTGGTCCTCATTTTCACAATTTCATTTGCCCTGCCGAAGCATAATTTCACTCTTACACCAGAAAAAAATGCACAGTTGAGAAAATAATTAAATCAACAGGATCCAGAGATGGGAGTAAAAGGGAAGTTTACTCACCAGCAAGTGGAGTTTTCAGAGTATGTTACCATAGCAGATCCACATTCTAGAAGTCCTGCGCCATTCCAGAACCTTTCTAAAGCATTTTAATAGTGATGGACAAACAATTCATAGCACTGTCTAATTTTTCATTAAATTTGACCTCATTTCCTGTTTGGGAAGTATCCGCAAATAGATCACATAGCTCTCAAAATCTGTTTGTTGTTCAAAATTTCTTGTCCAATTTCCCACTTCATAATCCACCTTCAAAATTTACTTGAGCTGGTGAATTACTTCAGACATGTGGTCTCATTTCAGTTCCATGAATGGACGCTTACATAACACAGCGCAGTATGAATTTCAAATATTAATCACGTACACAATTCAAACTTTGCTTTTGCTAAATAACGGAGTTTAAAATTTAGCCTCCAAGTATTCCTATTAGAAAAGCTCAGCCACTCAAACTTTCATGGAAGGCAAACACAACATGCTTGGGGAGTATTTAATCATATTTGGATTTGGAATTTGAATATTTATTTATTACCATTTGCTCAGGTCTACAGCTTAACATTTATAGGCGCACACACTGTCTGCAATCCAGTCTCCCTGTCACAGTTATAAAGGACTCTATCCTTAGAGCTGTCCTCTGCTCACCTCACCCTCACCTAAACTATAGCTATAAAAATTTCAGATGAGAGGATGAAGGCGGGTCAACATGACTGTAGAGGCAACACGTGGAGAACTCCAGTTATTGCCAGGTTAGCTTTCTTTCTCCCTCACAAAGCTGCCTCTGCTCCTCCTCCACACAGATGAGCAAACAATAGCAATTCCCAACAACAGGGCTGAGAAGTGAGTGGTTAAAGATGGAGGATCAAGCACAAGGTCGAAGCACCACTTAAATCCCACTTATGGTCTATTTTGAGAGTTTAAGTGGTGCACAAGACTGGCGATGGCCCACTGCACGGCAGTGAATTTCACCCTGAATGACAACTACTCTACAAATGAGCATCCAGTTTAGATCCAGAGCTGGCAAGTGATGTGAATTGAACTACAAGTGGCAGCCTTACAAATCTTGGTGATAGATACATTATGGAGACAAGCTGTGTAGATGGCCACTCATCTGACAAAATGTGTTCCAAGTTCTCCAGTCTAGAGCTCATTTGGTTGTAGTCGGCTTGGCTACTGAGTTTCATCCATTTGGATGATTTCTGGACATATCTCACTTCCCTCAAAGGCTATAAACAAATAGGATGACTCTCAAAAGTAGTAACTCAGTTTTTGACATCTAATATATGCAGTCTAGCCACTACCCCAAACCCCCATGAGTGTGTTATGAGGATGTAGGGGACGAGCCCAGAAGAGAGAGATGGTTTGCTTCAGATGAACATCTGAAGCCAATTTGGGCAGAAGTTTCAGGTGAGCAACACAGCACTGCTTCATAAAAAAGGTCCAGTGTCAGAGTTTGGATTTCACTCACCGCCTTGGCAGAGGAGATAGCTACCAGGGAGCTAACAGTAGCTCCCAAGTGGTTCAAGGGACGCAGTCATAGGCCTAGTACCTTGAACTGACTGATAATGTATGGCTGAATGAGGACAAGGTCCTTTGAACAGAATAGTGAAATGATGAGATCAAGTTAACTACCTTAACTGTGGAAAGGGATTAGACCAACATCTCTCTAGTAACTGATTGAGGATTAGAGGAGCCAAGCAGTGTGAGGGGTAACACATTATTATTACTACTACACACCTAAGAAAAGAAATGTATCCATTTACAAACACATGCTTTTCTGGGGGCAGGAACATGGGACTGCGACAAGCCTGCTGCTTCACCCTTCTGAATACACCATCCTACCAGACATTAAGGGCTCAAGACCCAGGCCTCCAAGCATCGTGACTGAACTGGAGGAGAGTTTGACCTTTGGGAGTAGTAAGACTAGCCAAGGCTTGAGACATCACAGGCAGGTCAGAGCATGACACCTAGCCCTGTCCCATTTCAATCCCTCCAATGGGAAAGGGGAACAGGGTGACTCCAGTTGGAACTCTTCTCCTAGCAAATCCAGGACCCCTGCCTAGTCTCACATGTGAGAGGCACCTGAAGCATTGTTTTGAGAAGTGTACCATCAGGTGACCCTGCCTCCTCTAGACCAAAGACTGGAGGTTCGGAAGAAAAACAAGACCTTGTTGTGTGAAACAGAGTCAGGTCTCCTGGCTGGCAAGGAGGAGGCTGAGCATTGCCAGCCAGATCCCCCTGGCTGGATCTATCAATCCTTTGCTTATACGAAGGGTGCCTTCTTCATCTCCAGCAGGCCAGCGAGTTTGTGCACCTTCTCCAGGACTGCAGCAATTGGAAAGTCTAAGGCCTAAGCTCAGCATCATCTCTTGTAATGCCTTATTGTTGTCATCACAGCGAGGAGACCAACTTAAACTAAATTTCATCTATTCTTCCTCCTCCTCCAATGCAGAGAGGTCACCTCTCAAATAAGCCTGCCACTGCCAAGAGATGGTCTCATGCCCCAAGAGCCATAAGGCCCAATTAGTCACACAAACCAAGACTTGGGATCCCCACTTTCACTGAAATGTTAGAGGTCTGACCTCTGACCAGGCAAATATAGTAGGGAAGTAGGAGCAAAAGCTAACCAGATACCGGACTGGGTTGTAGATCAGTAAGGCTGCACATGAAGGGGAGACCTCTGTATCAGAAGTATTAAAGTGGCCCAGGCTGGCTCTGAAAGCTCTTTAGAGGAATCTCACATTACAGCAGCCCTTGAAAGTCTGATCTTGTGGAGTCTCCCCCATCAATGAATATGGGAGGATTGGAACTAGGAGACCAGCTCTGTAGCACTTCTTTCAGGCCTCTCTCAGAGTATTTCCAAGTCTCTGAATCGAACAGTACAGGGGCTCAGAATAGGCCACCAGACCCAAATATTTCCTCCTCTTTTCATTCAGTGATGAAACCAAAATCTCTGGCTCCAACAACTGGCTCCTGAGATACAGACGAGTGAGCAGACCAAGCCTCCTCCAGCATGCGTCTAGGTCTGGGAATAAAGGATGCACAGCCAAGCACCACTGACTTCTCCCAGGCATTTCAGGTACCCAACATGTTGGTCTACAAGGGATATTTTCTGACCCAAAGAGAAGTGCTCCAAACCCAAACCCTTCCCCAGTCGCACCATAAGTAAATCACACAATTAGTCTTACTAAAAATTAATTCAGTACTATTATTTATTGTAAACACTAATCTAAGAATTAACAACTACGTTAACATTTAAACTAAACAAAGTTGTGTCACTGAGCGAAGGAAACCAGACCCACAACCGCTTGTACCAGTGGGAAGAGGGGAAACTGAGGACGGTTATAGGGGAAAGGGTTTTCACAACCTTAGCTGATGCAATGGCTGCATGAGAGCACACAGGCCCTCCTAACAATTAACCTGCTTTAGAATCACTCTAGGCCCACAAGGTACAGCTTTCAGCTCCTGCAGAGACATTTCTCGGGGTTATGTGTACACCTCAGCTGGGAGGTGCGATTCCCAGCACAAGTAGACAGATTCACGCTAGCACACTAAAAATAGCAGTGTGGATATTACCGCATGGGCGGGGTCGCAGGCTGACCCGAACGCCGACCCAGGGGATCAAGAGGCCTTGGATTTTGGACAGCTAGTCTGAGCCACTGCCCATGCTGCAACATCCACACTGATTTTTAGTGCGCGTCTGTCTCCATGCGCTGGGAATCACACCTCCCAGCTGCAGTGAAGATGGACCCTTTGCACAATTACCAAGGAGTGTGCGTAAAACTGCTGCTATAGCCAGCCTGATCTTTCTCCATGTCCTGACATGCTTACACAGGCTGAATTTATAGCGGGGCCAATAATCAATTCTCAAGCTCCTGTGGGCTGCCCCGCTACAGTTCTGGGGTTTGATGCACAGGTCTTCTATTTGAATAACACCACCAGAATGACATGAATCCCAGCTGGAAGGGAGATGCCACCTAGATTTCACGAGTGAGTGTGCATATGTCCTTTGTTGTTGGCGTAATTAGGAGTTTCCTGCATTATACCATAGATAGTATGTACCTGGTGCCCACCATTAAAGCATTTAGCAAAGGGAAGAGGGATGGAGGAGATTCCATTACGGCTGCTTTTCATTAACCATCCCTAAATTACGCTCCAAATGGAGAATTGGTGTATGGACTAATACAGCCAGGCTCAGTAAAATTTCAATTGAATTACTGCCCAGACACTACCTTTTAAAGAGGAAAACATGGCTCAGGGTGAGTGAGTGGTCTAAGCTGTGACAGGCACATGGGCTCAGAAAGGCCACCCACTTGAAGAGGTGTATCAGTTGGGGATAAACACTAATGATAGCACAACCCAGCAGCTTGGCAGTTTTAACAAACTAAATGTACCTTTCAAAACACTCGTTTGACTGAAATGTTTGGATCTGTGTTTTCAGTAAGTGCACAGAATGTTCAGCAGGCAGCCAAGCTAATGGTCACCGAGCCTCACAGCCACTTCAGAGACAGAGATGGAAACACCTAATAGCTTGCATGTTTGAGACTTTCTGGTTGGGCCAGGGATACCCAGCACCCTAATGGCTATTCTCCCCTGAAATATCATTCTTGTCCAGTGGTGGAGCCAGGTCCCTGGCTAAGGTCTGAGGGAATCATTGTTGCAGTTATAGTCCCTGATAATTAGGGTTTCCAAAGGGAAAACTGATTGATGCCGACTAGAACATCCCAAACATGAGCCTGCAATAAAACATGAGGGGATTTTGGTAGCAGACTGGATTTCCCTCTTGTTCCAGATGCAGGCTCCTCCCCGAACTAGTCTAATGTTTCTCCCTCTTGGTCACTGGCCAGGGCAAAACTAATGGATTTTGGAATGCTAAACAGAACAAGGCCCCTCTCTTCTCTGACTCACCCCTTAAGGGTTAAAATGCATCCAGATCTATGTAGAAATAAGGGGGACGGGATAAGGGTAGGGAGAACTTACCAGAAAAGTTCCGTGAGACCAGCATTGTTGTGAGGATTGCACCCTGCGGGGGAGAAGGAGAGAGCAGGGATAAATAGCGATAAATCTCAGACAGGGGATGCAGAAATCCCAGTGGTTCGGGATTAGACAGGCTACCGAGATCCTCTCCATCTCCCAGCAGCTGCTATTGAACGGTTACGTTACTTTGGGGCTGGGAGCCAGAAGACCGATCAGCATGGTAGGTAACAGGTCTTAAGCATGGAGTGCTCATTTGGTTATTTCAGCTCTCTTTAAGTGGGGGCCAGGTGGGCATTGGGCATGGAGAGAACAGACCCTAAGGGAAATGAATTTTTGTACCTACAGAAATCTCCCAACCCGCAAAGAAACTTCTAGAGCACTTTATATTAGAGGATCTCAAAAAGCACTTGACAAACATTAATGAGCTAATCTTCAAGCACACCTTTGGCAAGGCAGGTATTTGCTCCACAGCACAGAGGGAGAAACTGAGGCACAGAGAGGGGAAGTGATGTGGGGCACACTTCAAGTCAGAGGCAGAGCTTGGAAGAGATCCCAGTTCTCCCAGCCTTGTGCTTCAGCCACTAGACCACCACCCTCCCACATTCCCCCTCCCAAAAAAGGCAAACACCTACTCACCTTCAGCTTTCTTCTGGCATTGAACTTTCTCAAGCACTCCACAGTCTCTTGTCTGTGCATCATGGAGGCCACGGTGGATCGTTGCTGGAAGACCGGAACAAGGAAAGATTGTTAAATAATTGTAAACAAATCAGCAAGTTGAGTTCTCCCTCCAGCTCTCCGCTCACACGCTACAGCCAATATGCACACCAACATGACTGAGCAGCTCAGCTCTGGGTGCCCTGCTCCTAATGGACCCTGCAGAGACCTGGCAGCAGAAACCAACTGCAAGTTGACATTAACCATCCCCCTGTGGCGAGAGGTTCTAAACAAGGTGGGTTGTTATCACAGACCCATGTCTGAGAAAGTGAGTCATTCAAGAGCAAAGTTCTCCATCATTCAGACACTAAAGAACAAAAACAGATCTGAGGCAAAAGTGCATAACCAGCAATTACGCTGGGTGGGAAGAGGGGAGGGGAAGAGGCGGATCTTGTTACTAAATCTCAAAAGGAAAATTCAAGCCAGTGAGTGAAGACCATTGTCTGGCTATCCTGATGCCTCTTGGACAAGGCTGCTCTTCGAACCTGCGAGTACAAAGACAGCCCCCAGCACCCTTGCATCAGATGCGGAATATGATGTTCAGCATACAGCTGTGGAGTCATATGGCTCAGTCAGATAGTTCTACCGCATCAGCTGACAGCCTGAGTGCAGTGTCCAGCCAGCGGGGTGCACTTGTCACCAGCACTCGGCTGGGGTCACATCAGCTGCAAGAGAAGCACTTCCCAGAAGTGTTGTTAGAGAGTCAGGGAACATTCGGAAACCGGAGGCTGATGCCAGACTGGCTCTTGCTCTAACACAGATCTACTAGTCTGCATTCGCTTTACAAGGACAGTGGGCGATGGACTATCATGCTGACCCGTAGGCATTACAGCCCTGCCGTGAGCAGCTCTCTTGGTTCAAACAAATTCATTAAGACCTGGGAGAACAGCATGCACTGTGCTCAGATTCTACAAAGTTACGCAGGGAACCTCTACTGTGACCTCAAACCTAGCCACCCCTGCTCTCAAAGCTGGCTACAATCTGCACTGCTGTTGCGGGGGGTGGGAAGTCTGGGCCGTCCCCTTTGAAAGAGCTTCTTGCTGTCAATTATACTTCAGGATCCTCTTACTAGCTCTGCAGAAAATGTGAGAACCACAATGCTCCTGGTCTGGAAAGGAGAAAGCTCTCAAGGGAGAGAGCTCGTCAAAGCTGCTTCATGGCCACTAGCATTACACTTATGGCTAGTGGCAATATGGAATGTTTGTAGGTGTTACGAAAGCACTTCCACATTTTCCTGTGAAAAACAAAGAGCCCCTATGACAAACTGGGGCTGGGATGCAGAGCTCAGGATACCCAGGGGCCAGGCTATTCAAGCTGACGTTTCCCTAGATATGGCACATGACAATGATCTGCATTGACAATCAATGGCTATTGGATAAAACAGCCTTGAAATTAAAAGCCATTTGTTCTGCATCTCTTCAATATAGCAGTGGTTACATAATGCTATAAAATAGGTGGGCTTTTCCCATGCCAGCACCTACAAGCTCACAGTTCAAAGCATACAAACATGCTTGATTAGACAGCCCCTGATTTCTGCCCCTAGAGCTCTGCCCTCCTGCTCTAGTAGCCTGTCCTCCTAGCACATGGCTTCAGCATGCACAATGGCATGACCTCCTAACAGGTGAGGAAGGAGACACTTACACAGACCCATGGGTGTTTGAGTGCTTGATCGGCTGTGATGCGTTTAGCCGGGTTTATCGTCAGCATCTGATTGATCAAGTTCTTTGCTTCAGGAGTCACTGTGTCCCACTCAGGTGACGGGAACTAGGAGGGAGAGAGGAGAAGAGATGAGATGCTGAACACAATCCTCCTTTCCCGCTGGAGGAAATCCATTCCAACACACCAAACCCTGATCAGGCTTTAACCCCTTCGGCACCACCACAGCTAGTTTGTACCTGGGGGACACAAACTTTTGGGTGACACCCACAGTGTGAAAATACTATGGGACTTGACAAATACATGCACCATTTTGATGGCTGTACAATGGATGTCCACGGGGCAGCCAAACAGTTCAAGGAACCTTTCAGGATTCAGTCAGGCCTTGGGCTTTTACTCAAATCTGTAAGTCAATTCAAAGATCTGTAGCTTCCTTCCCTTCTTGAGCATTTGGTGCAGACATGTGAAAACAGATGCACAGTCTCCTTTAACCCCCGCCCCCGTCCCCCCCCGTCCCCATACACTAAAAAGCTGTAATCATGTTTGTAATATCAGAAATTGTTGCCTGGGGAATGGGAGACACATCAGAGGCTGGCAACATGTGGTTATGGAGATGAAGGGCAGAGATCTGAAGTCCTTGAACTACTAACACTCCATGTGCAGTTTAGCACATCAGTATGGATGAGGACAGTGCCCCCAGGTCTTCTGGGGTGTTACAGATGAAAGCACTGTGAAACTACAGGCACGTCTGCACAGCAGCTGGGAGGTGTAACCCCCACATCAGGTACTCTGCTCATGCTAGCACCTAAAAATATCAGCGTGGCCACGGTGGTATGGGTAGCAGCTCAGGCCAGCTGGCTGTGTATGTATTCAAGGGTCAGGCAGGACTGCACTCAGGTGCTTAGCCCGAGCCGCCACCTGGGTAGCCGCAGCTACAGTGCTAATTTAAAAGTGCTAGCTTGAGCGGAGCCAGCGCGTGCACGTCCGCCTGAGCTGGGATCCAAGACATACCCTAAGTGGACCATGGCTCAGCCACCTGAGCAGAACATACAGCTTCTGAACACAGAGACGACCCAGAGGGCAGTTAAAGGGTCATGGTCGCTTTAAGTGACCTGTGTTTAAAAACAAGATGTCCTTCCCTGTGCTGTGAACATTTTCTCCAAGTATTAGAGCTGAAAAAAGCTTAAAGAGCTCCTTGACTTTTCCCATTCACAGTTAGCTTATGCTTTGTGCTCCACTCAACACGGACCACAAAAATGCACTAGTCAGGGTCACACTTGCTGTGTGTCAGTTTCACATCCCAGGTCTCAGGCACAGCGCTGCAATGTCTGAGCTGCAAACATTGCGGGGGAATGCTTAAAAACCCTCAGAAAACCCTGAGCTTTCATTGGGAGGTTATTTCCAAACAAAAAAGATTCCTGGTCACATTTCACAAAACCCAGGTACTGAGACTAAAGGTACCCCATGGGCTTCCTCTGAAACACAAACAACTTGTTTTCTGGAGATTGAAATTCACAATGGCCACTTCCCATTCAGTCAAGAGGTAAAATGGAGTAGTCCAACATACACACCCCTCCCCGGGCAGGGTGGGCTACAGGAGATATTTTCTATTCCTATTAAAGTGGAAGTTGCTCCCTGCCATACATGACACAGAAGGGGGCTGCAGGAACTAGGGTTCATGACAGATAGACACTTGAAAATCTGAAGGGGGTTGAAAGTCAATGGGAGTTAGGGGGGTTGGGCTCCTAACTCCCAGTCACCTGCCAGAGGAGTTAGGTGTCTAACCTCTTAGGCGATTTGAAAATCCCACTCTGCATTCCTGCTGCAACACAATTTAAACATAGCATTTAGTACAAGAACCAGACACACAGAAGAGAAGGAGCCTACGAACAAAACGAGCAGTAAGACAGAGCAGTGTCCTCAGGCCTGGCGGCAGGGGAGGTTACTTGATTCCAGCAGAAACATCCTACCCCCACCATTCCATCTCTGACTGCTCTGAGCTAAGTATGGGCACTGTGACTGCCCACAGAGCGAACCCCGCATCTTCCCTGCAATGCGTATGCCAGCCACTCTTGGATCAATAGCTCCAGGTTTATTTCCCACTTCAACAGACTCCCCTCACTCAGGAAGATTTATTCCAAGTGTCCAAACTGCTGCAGTCAGAGAACAATCATTAATGCTTAACCTCTCTGGCTCTAACCTCCCCACCAAACCGTTACTCGGTCTGGTCAGACATCACGCTGCACCCTATGACCACCTCTCTGGCCACAGTCCCAAGAGCAGCGCCATGCTGATGCCTTCACCCTCACAACAGCCTCTGATCCCTCATGCCAGTCCCAGTTTCCCCAGTCACACACCTCAGAGCCACCCCCTCCAGCAGAACACTCACTGCTGGGCAGATCAGGACAGTTTTTCCACAACTGCAGGCAAATTCCACTGTGAGGTGCAGGAGGCCATGGGCCACAGGTCAAGCTGTCTCTAGAGAGCGTTTCCCCACATTGTTCTATAAGGCATTGGTGGGATGAGATCCTTCCAGTTCATGCTCCTTGCGTTCCCCTTGGAGAGTCAGTATCTGTATCTCCTCCAGCACTTCACTGCATTAAGCCCACGAGTGTAGAGCAGCTGAGTTTGGTACTTCTTTCCTGACCCAATTATCTCCCTGTACCCACAACAATGACCCCGCCCCCGCGGACCCCAATGGTAGCCCCACACAGTATCATGCTAAGCATGCAGCAAAAAGAAAGCCCAACGAACACAAGGCAGACACTCCAAGCACCACCTGGCACAGCAGCCATGTGGCTGACACTGGTCACCAAGTGAAACCAGGCCAGATTTTGGCTGACTAGATGGCACAGGCTTTCTACACCATGCAGGTACTCAGCGAGGATATGTCCTTACATCATAGGCTCCAGCTTTGATCTGCTGATAGAGCTTGTGCTGATCTTCATCCCAAAAGGGAGGATAACCCACTAGCAGTATGTACAGAATCACTCCTGGGGGGGAAGAGAGAGAGACACACAGATATGCTGGGGTTAGGTTAATTGGCTCCGATTACTCCCATCCTCCATCTGTACACCCATTTCAGAGCTGAGGAGAACCCCCTTCCTGCCCTCTCAACATTCCTTTTCCAGCAGTGTCTGCGCTGGGTCTTTAGTACCTTGGAGGTCTGAACGTGATGATGAACAAGGAGCAGGAGCAGCCCCAGGAGCCTCCATCTCCCCTCAGCTGCTGGACTTGGTCCTGGCACACCAAGATCAGCTCTGATCCCCAGCTCCTAGGACAAAGCAGGCGCATGCTGCCCTTCTACCTCCCCATACATCACGGCTAGTGAGCCACAGCTTCCAGCTGCTTCCAGAAACCAAGCCCAGTGAGGACACTGCACAGCAAGGTTCTACAGGTGTTTTCAAGATTCTTCCATGCTGGCCTCACGCGCTTTTTGCAGGGCAGGAAAGCCTAACACCCAGGCCTGCAGGAATAGGTCTGCACCACACATCAGTTCGACATCCTCCATGTCCTAGGGCTTTAAACTGATCAGTCTTCAATTATATGTACACTTATGCTTCCCTTTTAGGGAGGTGCACCCATGGAGCGAACATTATAGAGCTAAATAATGGAGCGCTGGCTCGGTGAGGCAAGGATGGGTTCTGACTATTTAGCCCCAGCAGAAGGCTCTGATGGCTTGTCTGAGCACAGGACTAGGAATTAGGAGCAACTGAATTGCAATCAATGCTCCGACATCAGCTCCATCTGCAACCTTGGGCACGTCACTTAACCCCTGTGCCTTCTTTTCCCTGTCTGTGAAAGGGGGATGAGGACCTTTCTAACAGGGGACTGCAAAGAATGGCTGCTGTTTGTAAACAATGCAGTGTCAGGGCAAAGTGTTATCACTGTTATGAGATCTTACCACATGCCCATATGTCCACTGGTTTTCCATAAGGATCTTTTCTCAACACCTCAGGGGAGAGGTAGCCTGGAGTACCAGCAAACCCTGTGAGGAGAGGAACGACATGGGGCATACACAGTACCCAGCTAGAAAGATCTGCTGGCTCCTACCACAAGTTCTGAAAACTGTAACATTTAATTTTCACAAGCCCATGCTTCCCCTCTTGCCTAGACTTCCCTGAGTTACCTCTGTGGAGGCCAATGGACACAGGAAAGGGATGGCAAAGGGATGGGTTAACAGTCCACTGGCTCAAAATGCTATAAGCAAGCAAGAGCGAGCAGTGAATGGGATCATGTCACCCTCTAGAGCACAAGCCCTTGTGCCACATCTTAGCCCATGGATACCTGTGTGGTTTGGAGTTTGAAAACAAACCCTGGCACATGGCTTAGCCAAAGGATGTGAACAGACCCACAGCTGTTGCCATCTCTCAGGAATTTCCAAGACACTGATCACTGTGAATCTCAATGCCAATGTTCAGCCAGAAAAGATCTGGTTCCTAACTCTGTTATACCTAGAGAGAGACAAGCCCAGACCCAAATACACCTGAGGAGTCCAGATCAAGGCCTGGATTTTGCAGCTGTCCCCATTTATACAAAAAGGGGAAACAAAATCTGCAGATCCCAACACTCCTGAGCAGTGGGAAAGTTTGTATCAGGGTCTGGACTTTGCAGCTGGGGCAGCCTCTCAGGGCCGGCTTTAGGAAGTGCGGGGCCCAATTTGAACATTTTTGGCGGGGTCCCGGCAGGGATGACTAACAAAAAAAAAAAAGCCTTTCATTTCTTCCATGTATTATTTACTTTCCATAACTATATAAATAATAAAATTATATATTATGTACATTGCATCATATATGCTGTTTATCGGTTATTAATGAGCTCCATTTCACACGTGAGGGTCCCCGCCAACTCCCTTGGGGTGTGGTGTGCACATGTGTGGGTCCCAGCCCCCCTCATTGAAGCAGGTGTGCAGGGTTACTGCCCTGGGAACTGCAGGGCACCAGTGGACATGGGGCTGGCTGAAGGCAGGGCAAGGGCTGACTGGAGATAGGGTCTGGCTGCAGACAGGGCAAGGGGTGCGGGGCTGGCTGAAGACAGGGGTGGGCTGGCTGGCTTCAGGCAGGGCCGCAGGGGGGTACGGCATGGGTTGGCAGGGCTGGAGACAGAGGAGTGCGGGACTGGCTGGCTTCAGGCAGCGGGGTGCGGCAGGGGTTGGCTGGAGACTGTGCAGGGGGTGCGGGGCTGGCTGCAGGCAGGGTGGTGGGGCGGGGCTGGTGTGGGCAGGACAGGGGGTACAGGGCTGGTGCAGGCAGGGGGTGCGGGGCTGGAGCCAGGGCAGGGGGTGCGGCAGGGGCTGGCTGCGGGCAGGGAGTGCAGGGCTGACTGGAGACAGGGGCTGGCTGCAGGGCTGGTGTGGGCAGGGGGTGCAGCAGAGGCAGCTAGAGCTCCGGCCCTTTAAATAGCCCCCAGAGCCCCCCACTACCCCAGGGCTCTGGGGGCTATTTAAAGGGCCCAGGGCTCCCCTGCGTCTACTGTCCCGGCCCTTTAAATAGCCGAGGGAGCCCTGGGGAAGACTTTTTAAATAGCTCCCAGAGCCCCGCAGCCCTACCCCAGGGCTCCAGCAGTGGGGCTCTAGTGGCAATTTAAAGGGCCTGGGGCTTCAGCCCCTGCTGGGAGCCCCAGGCCCTTTAAATTGAACCCTGGGGAAGCCAGGCCACACCGGTACACCGTACCGGGGCTTGGGCACAGGGCCCGATTCAGGGGAATTGGTTGAATTGGCCTAAAGCCGGCCCTGCAGCCTCTGTGACTAACTCCTACTGTACATTTGGGAAGGAAAACAAGAGAGGAGATTCATCCTTAAGGCTCATATATGGTCATATTTTCTCTCTTGCTCCCATTTTACCCAGTCCAAAGGCCCCAGAAGCAGGGGTGCTGGGCAAAGAAGGTGTGGCACTGAACTCGTCTAATAGTTAGTTGGAAGAGGTCAAGCCCAAATAAACTAGACCCTTCCTAAGCCCTGACATGTACAAAAGGAGGCTGGAAGGGGCAGCTAGAAAAGGAAAGGCTCAGATCTTCTTCTTACCAAACCAGGCCTGCTGCTCCCCCTGCACTTCTATAGCCAGTCCAAAGTCGGCCAGTTTGACAGCGGCACTCTTACACTTACTCGCCAGTAGCAAGTTCTCAGGCTGGTGAAAGGAGAGAGAAGAGAAAGGAGGGAGGGGTGGGAGAAAGAAATCCACATTAATCTCCTTTCCTCAGTGTTTCGATCTGTTTAAATTCAGGCAAGGGCCCTGTGTGAAAGCAGCCATTCAGCCTAAGGCCCAGCTATCGCCAATGGCCTCAATGATGGAAGGGCTCATCTAATCTCCCTTTGCTCTCATGTGCAATGCAAGCGCCTCTCCCAGCCCAACCCACACACCCAGCGCTGACACCAGGTGGCGCTGACAGCACAGTCCCTCCAGGACATGATTCCAACACATCCATGCAGAGAGAAAATGATGCAGCAGATACAACAATCTGCAGTGACGGGGCTCCCCACGAACATCACACAGTTCCCAAGGCAGTGGACAAGCAAATATGATAATAAGGACTGCCAAAGAGAGATCTAATGCAGGAAGGCACAGTCTAGTCAGGCAGTAGCTTTATGGAGAGTGCCTCTCAGCATAGCTCACTGCAGTGCTACTGATGCTGCTAATGAAAGCTCCATTTGTTCGAGTGGTGAACCCCCGTCTACAGGAGTTTATTAAATGCTCCCACATCACCCTCTCCACAGATGAGCGACAAAACCTTCCCTGTGCCAGGGATGGGATGCTGCTGTTCTCCCACCTCCCGAAAACACCTTATACCAGAGATGGGACCCCACACCCCCACCTCTGAAGTATTAGGAAAAAGGATGTCACCCAAATAGAACCTCAGGCATTCGAGGAATTCAGTTGTGTTCTGGAGGCTTCAGCTGGAGAAAGCAGTGAAGGGGTTAAAGTGGCTGCAAAACATTCCTCCAGGCTGAGGCATTGCCTGCCAGGGCAGTTCACAAAGGGGACCCTGCCTCTAACACACATGCCCTGAAGACACTGGCTGCAGCAGCTCAGCAGGAAATGGAGTTCCCACTGCACTTACAGATAGGGACAGGGGTGTGCTGGAAAGGGCAGGAGCGGGAGGAGCCCAGAACCTCACCCATGTTTGTCAGGATATAAAACTATGCAGACTGGAGTCTTCAGCAGGCACCAATGAGAGGGGGGAAAGGTGTCCTCCAGCAGGACAGAAGGCTGGAAATCCAGGAACTGGATTATCACATTCCTTGGAGATCATTTGCACAGCAGGGCATCTGTCTCCCATGGTGACTTATAACTGCAGTCCTGCTGGGTGAGGGAGGGGGTGTGGCTCAGTAACCTGCACAGTGGGGATAGGGTAGGTGAGGCATGCACACAAAGCCTATCCCTGCCTGCACTGTGCAGGTGATGGTTTAGGTGCATGGGGGCGGGGGGGGGGGGGGCGATCTGAGGGTGGGATAAGGAGGCAGAGAGGGAGGTCAGATATGCTTAGCCCTCCACTCTGCCTGTGCTGCAAGGAGGTGGTGGGGAGTTAGAAATACATGTCCCCTCATCCCTGCCTGAGAGTCAGGCCCCACTTCACACTGGAGCCAGCACATTTCCCTGGGCCGGCGGGGACAGTGCCACTGCAGCTATCACAGAGACAAGTCCAGTGGGAAATCTAGGATCTCCCTCCCACCCACAACTCACACTGCATATGTCTCAACTAGGGACGGTGGTCACGCTTAGGCTGGGCTCAGCAATTCATGCTAGCTAAATCCCTCTGAAACTCCACCTGTTCCCTGCAGTAATCTACATAGAGAGAAACCCCTTCAGTGGGACTCCAGCTGTGTGCACATGCATATCCACCTGCATGTTCTGTAGGCTAGAATCCTGCTGGCTGAAGTCAAGCTCAAGCTGTTACCATTCCCTAACCCTAGAAACAGGTTGAGTGTAGGTGGGGCTTAGCTCACGTGAGCCAGACCTAAGCATGACCATTTTTCCTAGGCAAGACATACCTGCTGTGATAGCACCTCCTGAAACCATCCTGCTTCTCCTCTCATTAGTTAATTCATGCCAATGCAACACCCAGGGTTCTACTTTAAAAAGGGCCATGATCAACTTCACTTATCTCCCCCCTGATCTTCACTACAGCCCTGCAGAATCTGAAACCTATTTCCAAATTTCTCCACCTCCACATGTACAAATGCAGTCCTCTGGAACTAGGGTGACCAGACAGCAACTGTGAAAAAACGGGACAGGGGGTGGGGAGTAATAGGCGCCTATATAAGAAAAAGTCCCAAAAAATGGGACTGTGCCTTTAAAAATGGGACATTTGGTCACCATATCTGGAACACTCTGTAGTTGCAGGGACGCTCACAAGCCATGGGCCAGGTGTGCTGATTTGCTATTGCAGGGTTGCTCCTTAGGACTGGTTTGTAACAGAGGAGGACAAAAAGCAGAATATCAAATAGAAACACACCTGAGCTCTGCAGCTCTAGACTACCTGTGGTCTATTATGTTGGGCAGCTGATGAGGGCTGAGCCCCTAGGGGCCATGTGTTAAGCAAAGACCATGGACTAATTTATTTTTTAAAAGCAGAATGACAGAGATTGAGGAGCAGCTTCAGGGAACTGGGCTGGGCGTGAGGAGGAACACACTAACCATCTCGGGAGCCCACCTGCTGGCCAATTCTACCAGAACTCCCTGGCTTTGGGGAGCCTGTCAGACCTTTCACATCCATCCCGTTGGAGGCCTTTGGAGAAGCGAGCAGGAAAGCACTGTGCTCATACTGCAACAAACCGACTGGAGTGCAGGCCTACAGTGGAAAACGACTCTGCTATCCTGTGGCACAAAGAACCACCCGGGCTTCCATAGTCTCCCTGGCCTTGAGCATTAGCATGCCCAGTGGTCACCTTTTCCACCTTTGAGGGTGCAGGCTTCACTGACACTGTATACCTTCCAGACGTGTTTATATTGTGCCCTCTGGAAGGTATTTTTTTATATCATGCTTCTGCTGAGGCTGCTGTCTTCAGATTCCCAGGCTCATGTAACCTTCTCACCATAAAGCAGAGCAGTGCCAGAAGGGGGGCGCCACCTTGTAGTAATCTAGGGTATGTCTAGTGTAATGTAGTGTAGATGCAATAAATCGATCCCCGATCGCTTTCCCGTTGACTGCTGAACTCCAGCAGTGCAAAAGGTGGAAGCAAAGTCGACAGGGGAGCCGTGGCCATCGATCCAGCGCCGCGAGGATGTGAAGTAAGTAATTTTAATTCGATCTAAGATACGTTGACTTCAGTTACGCTATTCTCGTAGCTGAAGTTGCGTATCTTAGATCGATTCCCCCCCAGTGTAGACCAGGCCTAGCAGAGCAGCTTCTGGCCATCACATTCCCATGCAAGACAGAGTATGCTGCTGGACAGACAGGCCTCCTGGTGCAAAACTTTCACTTTTTGGAGTCAGATCAACTCCCAGTACAGCAGCAGGTACTCCATGGGAAGGGAGTTGAAAGCTCTCCTGTGAGGGGGCTCTGGGGGCATAAGTGTGCTGTGGCATTGCAGAAGCCTGATTCAGCCAGTGCTTAGTGGATCAGCTATTTGATTAAACTTGTAAGTAAGGCTACATTTTAGCCATGGGTATTTTTAGTAAAAGTCATGGACAAGTCATGTGCAGTAAACAAAAATTCACTGCCCGTGAACTGACCATGACTTTACTAGATACCCCTAACTAAAACTTGGGCTGGGGCACCGTGGGTGCTCGGGAAGGGCAGGCCGGGGGCGCCTTGGGTGCTGGTCTGGGACTCCCGCTGGTGCTGCAGTGGAAGCGTGGGGAGGCACGTGGCCAGGGATCCCCATTGGTGCTGGGGGGGTGGGGGGAGGGGGAGCAGCGATGCGCAGTCAGAGATCCTGCTGGTGCTGCATGGGGGGAGGGATGGGGGAAGGGTTAACGAGGCTGGCAGGCTCCCTATCTGGCTCCAACTGGCATGTCCCTGTAGCTCCTAGGGGAAGGAGTGGCCAAGGGGGCTCCGCATGCTGCTCCTACCACAAGCGCTGGCTCTGCAGCTCCCACTGGCCACAAACCATAGCCAATGGGAGCTGCGGGTGTGGCGCCTGTGGGTACGGGCAGACATCAGCCACCGAAGCTCCTGCCAATGACACCGACTGCCGTCCCCCTCCTGAGTAGTGGAGGCAGCATTACCTTCAAATCCCTGTGCACGATATCATGCTGGTGAATGTGATTCACGCTCTCCAGTATCTGGTGAATACAGTGGCTTCAAGACGAGCAGAAGGAGAAAAGGAGAGAGACAGGGTTACACACACTCTCCGCCTCTAACCTCCACTTCCCCACCCTTCCCAACCGTTGCAAGGGGAGTTCAGGGACGCTGGGTCAGGCCCAGCAGTTACCTGCCCCCAAACAGCTCCTCCAACCCCATCATGCCCACCAGCTGCTGCTGCTCCCAAACTACCACAGCTGGAATTTTGTTGCTTAGCAACAGGGTTTCAAAGACAGTTCAACAGTGGGCTTAGATAGCAGGACCTCACTGCCCCCTCCTACCATCCCACTGACCCCTTTCCCTGCCCACCTCCTTCCCCTCTCCCTGGCATTAGGCACCGTGTTTGTTTTATCAGCTGAAGACATGCGCCCGCGCTTGTGTAAGCAGTAGCTCAGGGTTGGGCTAACAAGGCCAAGCCACAGAAACACGCAGCTAGGCCCGGCCCAAGCTTTCATGAAACAGCAGCCTGCTCCATCAAGCTCAGGACGAAGAATCTGGGCGCCTGCCAGTTGACACGGCTTTCAGAGCAGCATTTCAAGCACTTTACATACACAATGTGCACGCACTCCCCCCCCACACACACGCACCCGCTAGCCGGGCGCCTTTTAAGTACAGATCCCACTTAGGGAGTTAGAAGCTGAAAAACAGACTTGCTCTCTGCTGAGTGCACCGTGCCGCACTCCCCCAGCCCGCAGAAAACCAGTGCCATTCTCAGCACTGACGCCACAGGGAGAGGAGCAAGATGTTATTTACACTTGGCTTGTCAGGGACAATGTTACACCCACAGAGCGCGTGCACCAGACACACACACACACAGCTGAGATTGCTGGAGGAGGCTAGTCAGCCGGATAGCGGTTCCCAAGCTCTCGGGCTGGAGCAGATGCAGCAGCATTTACGTAGGTGTCATACTGAGAGAGGAAGCCTCTTTAAATCTGTGCTCCTTTCCACATCAAACAGCTCCTGAGGCCAGGCAGTCAGAGCCCATCTGTGGGAAGTGGGGGTGGTCGGCCTCCCTTGACAGTTCGCTCTGGAGAAGCCAGAGCGGCCGCCCCACTGGGAATAAGCAGATGTTTTTCCAAGTCTCAGGGGCCCGGGGTTTCTTTATGGATCTTACAGATTGGAAATGCGTGAAGTTGCTGCACTGTATATCGTTAACCCACCAGCCCCTCCCACTGGAATTGGCAGCACAAGCCACCAGGTCAGATTCTGTGAATATCTCCCCGCTCCCAAAACAAAAAAAAATGTATAATTAGAACAGAGCCAAGCCTGAGCGAGAGACTTTCTGGCCAAAAATGGCAAAAGTGTGAGGTGTCCCAGGCGAGCCAAGCGAGGCGGATTGGCACGAACCTCGCTCTCCCAGCCTGCTCTGGAATTCAGCTCAGCTTGGCGTGCGGCTAGAAAGGGAGGGCTTTGTACTTGCTCAGCAAATGCTGGGCTCCGTGGGCACGGTTCGATCAGCCCAGCTTGAGTTGGAGGGATCGAGCACCCTCAGAGAGGACAAGAGGACATTGTGTAGGCACAGACAAGAAGCAGCCCCCCATTCTCTCCTCTTCCCTTAACCTAACCAGGGTCCCCCTCCTCTGCCACTAGTGGTGTTCCTCACTACTGCTCCTCATTCGCATCCCCCTCCAGGGCACGGGGTGGTTGTGTGTAGGTGGGGACAATCCAATCACCTCCCACCCCGGCTGGACTGAATGGGATGAGCCAGGGAACATCACTTGGTCTGGGACAAACACGCCTGCAACAGCCCCAGAGCTGTTAAATGCATCCCAAGGGCTCCTGGCTCCTAACATCACCCGCTCCCTCAGAGAGCACCTGCCCCGGGGACTTCCTTCACCTTCAGCACACATTGGCCTGTCGCAGCACATCCTGCAGGGGAGAGTGATGTGTAATGCTGCACTTCCAGAGCCAGGCAGCAGGAGGAGGCTCTAACTGAGCCACAGTAGGGGCAAACGAGCACCCAAACATTGCCCTGGAAATGCCTGCAAGGGCCACGCTCTGTTCTTTTATGTATGCCACAGAGCAGCTCCAGGAGTGCATCTCACACCCGAAGGGCCGCACCCTGTCACTCCAACCTAGGCACCCCAAAGGTGCTCGCTCCATCGCTGCCGCACACCGGCTATTCCCGTCTCTTCCCAGGCTCTCCTCAGCTCCCCCTCCAGCCAAAGGCAGGCAGGGATAGCTCGCAGGGGCAGGGCGGGGTTCCATGAAACTTCACCATAGGCCTCTGCTCCCCCCTTCCCATCTCCCCCAGACCAGAGCTGGAGATCCCATTTCAAATGCCCCCATCTCTGGAAGCAGACTAGGTATCCAGAGCCCACACCTGGACTGATGTGAAATGGGATACTGTCAACCAACAATTAAGGGATGGCCAGAGACGTCAGGAGCGAGCCCAGTCCAGACTCGTTTAGGGAAGCCCAACTCTTCAGGGGTGAAGGTGGGGGACACACAGAGGGGGGACAGGACTTAAGTCTGTTTAAAGTTGAGAATCAAAAGCTTCCCTTCCCATACTGTGCTTTGTGCTTCTAAGCACCTATCAGCAGAGGCTGTGAATGCTTTACACACACTGGCACAAGAAGCACCCCCATTTTACATATGGAGAAATTGAGGCACAAGTCAGTTGCACAGAACTGCCTGAGGCGAGCACGAGTTCCTGGTAGAGCTGAGATAAGAAGTCAGTAGTCCAGGTTTCCAGTTCTCTAATATGACTGAAAACAATTCTTCCTCTTGTGCTTTACCCTTCCAAACACACATCACTGCTCCCCCTTCAGCAGCCAGGTCAGACAGACGCCGGCAGCAGGCCCTCCAGAGACAAGCAATGTATGCAAAGGGGATGGGCCAAACGCCACACTGAGTCAGCTACACTGAATCTGTCACCGCTACAGCTGAAAGGCTGAATTAGTGATGGGATGCGGAGGAGGGGTTTCCCACATGGGGAGCATTTATTTTACAACATGGCCATGTGCAGACATGCCGTACTCTCTGACATGATCGGCATGTGACAGGGAGAGTCTGAGCATAGATTCTTACCTAGCATCAGCTTCACTGTAGTACTCTCTGGCGACAATATCTTCAAAGAGCTCTCCACCAGTGACCCTGGAGGAGACAGACCAAGGGAGGTTAGGAGACTCCCACGCGCAGCGAGGAGGCACAAGGGGTAACACACTCGCTCCTGGGGTACCAGGCTGCCCTCTGCCAGCCTGCCTGAATCTTTGTCTGAGATTATCCCGAGGGAGGGCGAGCCAGGGCCAGAAACCTCAGAGCACCAGCTCCCCACTCACGTCAGAAAGGGCATCGAGAGCAGCAAAGGATCGTTACCCAAACAGCGGGGCATCCTTGCACTCACATCCACAGTGCTCTGGGTTCCACTTCCATAGCAAATAAGCATGGTGGGCACCAGCATCTTGAGCCACATAACTGTAGCCAGTACACATGCCATAAACACACCGGGTGCCCTCCCTCCCCCCACCTATTGTATCTGTGGCATGGAAAGGAAACCTGTCCCCCTTGGAACAATCTCATCATTCCCTAAAATTAGATAGCAGACACAGGTCAGAAACTGCCATACTACATACCTCTGACCCCTACATTTTCTGCCAGGCAGTTCCTACATCCATCCCCACACACAGGACCCCTCTGTCCTACTTTCTGACCTCTCATACAAGCACCCCATCTATTCCCCCCTCCACACCCACATCTTGTACCCCTGTCCACCTCCTTCACATGCAGAGTTCACGCTGCAGAAGAAGCTGGGAAGGCTCAACACTACACACAGAGTCATGCAAGCTAGTACTGTACACCAGCCAATATTTCCAACGGTTTAAGGTCCAATGAGTCTTTGGCTCTAGGATACACTGATCTTCAGCTCCTTAACCCAGCATGAAACCACCTGTGATTTTGTTGCACAGTGACTATTATCCCTGGAGAGAAGACCAAAACCCTATTTTAGGAGGAGGTTCTTTGTCAGCGGATTATAGCCTTGTTGTCAAGAGCTGGGGTACAGGTCCTGGTGGGGAAAGGAGGGGGGAAAATAGAGGTTCAAGGATCTTTTATTCTGCTCTTAAATCAGCACTCCACAGCTTTGTCTCAGCCACGAAGCACCAGAGCCAAAGGGAGGAACTTACAGATCAAAGACGAGGTAGTGGAAACCTTCTTCTGAAATACTGTCATGGAGCCGCACTGCAAAAACACAAACAAGAAACAAGGGACACTTAACATTTTCCAGATCTGATCCACTCCGCTTGGAAATCCACGACCACATTTCCCCAGTCCCATCTGGCAACCCATTGTTCCCTTCAGCCCCTTCACCTTCACTCTGGAATCTAGAGCTCTCCCTCCCACAATACCTTATCCCAAATAATTTATGAGCATCCTTCACCCGCTCCCCCTCTAGCACCAGATCCAAGATACTGGTGCTATTGAGGAGAGAATAAAGCAAAGGGTTCAGGGGACACACCACGGTCCTCAAGATACGGGGTCTCTGTTTTCAAACCTTATGTTTCAGGAATCCAGTTCAGCCGGTTGCTCTTCCTGAAAAATCTGTTCAGACTGTCTGCTAAAGCAAGTCTGCTTTTAAAAGTATCTGTCCTACCAACTAGCCTCAAGAGTGCTTTGCGGAGTCAAAAAGAGTTAACAAAAAAATTACTGTGGGGGAGAGTAATTTCCGGGGGGAGATTTCCACCTGCAATTGGACATGAGAAGGCAAGTTGACAAGAACAGGACAGCTGGCTCCAGATGGCAAGAGCAGCAGAGGAGAAGGCAGTGAGACAAGCAGTGAGATCAATGGGAGCAAGTCAACGGCGGGATCTTACAAACAGCAAAGCTCGGCCAGGATTATGGCATGAGAAGGAAAGCTCCGTTCATGACGCTGTGCGACAAAGGTGGGGCCCCAGAGATGCTGCATGTGTGGGAGGGCAGGCACTGGCAGTCTCCATGCACTGGGGTCAGGAGCTGTCACGGACAGGGTACTGCAGTAGTCCAAGCAAGGAGAGAGGTGGAGGGGTGAAAATTCCAGCAGAGCTGGAGTGAAGCCAGTGGCACACAAAAGGGCAGTGCTGCAGAAGTGGCAACAAACAGGTGTTCAGGCCCAGGAGAGCGGGAAGGAGAAGGAAATTCAGGATCAACGATGATGCTAAGGATGTAGTAAAGAGATCTGGGAAGTGAGTCACAAACACATATAAAGGAGCTAGGTTTGTGGTTCACAGTGCTCTTCCTGGCCAAGGGCAGCACTTCTGCCTTTGATACATTTGGATGAAGGAAGTGGAGCATCATTTGGTCAAGACAGAAAGAACACAGACAGGGATATCTCAAAGATACACACAGTGCGGTGTCCATGCCTATGGTTAAAGGGAAGGCAAAGATGGCAAGTGACAAAGGCAGACAGGAGGATAGAAGGGAGGGCCAAGAATGGAGCTTTGCAAGCACCAGGTAGCACGGGCTGTGGAAGAGCCACCTTCAAAGACAGCCGAAGAGCAGTGTGATCAGTAAGAGTAGAGTCATGACAGGAGGGAACCAGAGATGCCTGCACAGCTAGGAAGATGGAATGGTCCCCAGCATTAAAGGTTGCACAGAGGAAAAGAAGAATGAGCCTTCCCCACCAATCCAGGTCGTTAGCTACACAAAGAAGAGCCATTTCCCTGCTACGGCCCCATGGGATCTCAGGTGGAAATCAGCCTGGAGTCTGGTCATTAGAAGATGACTTAGGAGAGGAGAACCCCTTTTCTAAGCAGCTTGCTGAGGAGACGCACTCTGGGAGACGCTGGCAGCTGGAGCCTCAGGGCCGAGGAAGGGCTGGAAAGAAGAGACTGGACGCTGGCAGGCTGACTGGGGGTGACTGACAATGGCAGTAACGTAACAAGCAACGGTTGGGAGACAGAAGAGGGAAGGGTCCGGAAAGAGCAGGAAAGGAAAAGGGGGACAGGAGGAAGACCATGAGGAGAAGTGGGGAATATACTGAAACTCTCCACCCCTTCAATCCCAGCCCAGTACCACTCCCCCGGCCCACGAGTGCCACTGGTGGGTATTGAGTCTGCTTCTTCCCAGCAATGCAACAGCAGAAGCACTCTTTCAAGGTCCATCTTCACTGGGGAAAAAAAAAAAAAGGTGTGTTCTTAACTCAGGTTAGCTAACTCCAGTTAGGACAGCAGTGAAGACAAAGAAACTCTACTTTTAGCTCAGGTTTGCAGTTCAAGTGAATACCTGCAGAAGACCCGGGGGTGAACGTGAGCTGCTAATCGGAGTTAAAAGCAAGGCCTTTGCTGCTGCTTTAGCTGGAGTTAGCTAATGCAGTGAGCTAATCCGAATGAAGAGAACCAGCCAGCCAGACACAGCCTGTCACTCTGTCCTGTGCATTGCCCACCAAACTGACTCGTACTTTGCAGTCTTGCCATCAGAGCCAGGCTCCTGTTTTGATATTGCCATTAACCTCCACCCTGCCTGATTACTGCTTTGACGTAAAGATTAAATGATTTACTCTCAACGCAACTCCAATTACCAGAGCCTATCAGCTTAACAACATTATCTCCCCTTCCCGCCACCACTCAGCATGTAACCGGCAAATATCTTCCCTGCCCTCCAGGTAGAGCATGGGGGGGTGTTGGTTACTTAGTTGGTTAAAAGGGTCTCTGAATCCCCTCTGCTTAGTTCACCATGACTTTCCATGCATCTTGCAATCTCCAGATGACCAACAACTCCCCCTCCTTCCAGCCAGCTGTAGCCCTCTCCTCCACATCCGTGGCCTGCTAGAGAGCAGATGTTGCATACCAGCAGATGGGGTCCTGGCTCTGACCAGCTCCAAACATGTCCAAGAGAGACCAAAGTAGAGCAGTTTCTCAGCTTCAGACTTCCCTGGGTAAGGGGCAGATACACAGAAGTTGCAGGGAGAGTGGAGGTTTTTCTTGTTCCTAACCAGGTCCACGTGTCCTGTAAAGGCTGCTAGCCCCACCACCCTTGCCTAGTGCTCTCCTCCCCCACACACTGGGGAGGCCTGACATACCATCTTGGGACAACTGCGCAGAAACCCCAGGACCTTTCCCTAACTCCTGACATGGAGTGTGACAACACTGCAGAGCAGATGAAGGGAGAAATGCATGTATAGCTGCTGGGGGCAGGCGGAGCCAAGAAAAAATTCCAGACATGATATCATAGACAAGAGAGATGGAAAAGATGGATTAGTGCATCCAGGCCAACCCCCTGCAATGCAGGATTGTTCCCTACACAGCATTCAATGGTGCTTTAATTATTCAAGCAATGAAGCTTCCATCGCTCCCTTTGAGACTACCGCAAACCTGCAGCTCCTGGCCTCCTACATCGAGCGCAGCAAGCTATCCAAGTGCCTGCTCTGCAAACGGAGCTTTGAGTTGCATTAACAAGGAACCAGGGCACCCAGGAAATTACTGGAGTCCTGCAGACTAGTCATGTGAATGCCTAGCACTTCCCTGAGGAGTCCATTCTCGCTCCTCATATCACACTAACACAGAGGGACGATTACTTTTATTGGCAGATACAGTAGCCACAAAGAGATAATTCAAACCATGTTCCTTCCCAACAGGGCTGTTTTAGCCAAAGGCTCTTTGCAAAACAAGGGAGGGGAGGCGGATGGGGGAAGCATATGATTGCCTGCATCTTGCAGCTGTAGAGAACCACCACCCTGCCAAGGCTGCGTGCTCATAGGCCGTCCCATGATTGCATCTCAGGGTATGTTTACACTGGAGCTCAGGCAGACATACCTGTGTAGCTTGGATCAAGCCAGCATGCTAAAAACAAACGCAGACGTGGCAGTGTCAGCAGTGAGGCAGGGCAGCCACCCGCCCAAGTACATACCTAGGGTTTCAGATAGGATAGTACTCAGGGCAGCTGGTCCATCCTGCTGCTTGCGCCATCACAGCTATACTTCGATTTTCCACATGCTCACTCAATCAGAGCTAGCGCGTGCCTGTCTACTCGAGCTGGAAATCACACCTCCAGCTCCAGGCGAGACATGCCCCCAGCGAGGAGGTCAGAGGTACAGCTGAAGAGACACCTGAGTGGCAGTGACAAGAGGAGGTAAAGCAAGTGAATGAACCTACCACTGAACCAACGGGGGTGGGGTGGAAAAGAAAACAGGAACAATCCACTGAGGCATTAACCTGGCTACATGACATGCTAAAGGACCTCACTCACTGGTTACAGAATACTGTTAGAAGTCTTAGCTTAAGGTTACTATATTTCAGCAAGCAAAAAAGGATGACGGGAGGAGACCCACCCTAGCCCTGCCCCCATCCTGCCCTAGCCCCGCCCCTGCCCCTCCCACTTCCCACCCCCCTCAGAACTCCCAATCCTCCCCCCCGCTCCTTGTCCCCTGACTGCCCCCTCCTGAGACCCTCCCCCATCCTAACTGGCCCCCTAGGACCCTACCCCCTACCTGTACTCTGATTGCTCCAACCCTTATCCACACCCCCACCCCCAGACAGACCCCTGGGACTCCCGCGCCCCATCCAACCACTCCCCACCCCCTGACAGTGCCCCCCAGAACTCCTGACCCATCTAAACCCCTCTACTCCCTGTCCCCTGACTGCTCCGATCACTCTCCCCACTCCTGCCCCCCTGCCAGCCCCGTCCCCAGAACTCCCAACCCCCGCCCCCGCTCCTTGTCCCCT